ATGGGAGTCTACTGATAAGATGAATGTTTGGCTTATGACACGTCGAGTAGATGACCCAGAGGTTATCCAGACCTTGGTAGTTTCCAAACACCTTTGATTGTATTTAAAGTTTATTTTTTGTGTGTCAACCATTTTAATTTCGTGTATACTTGTGTGTCTTATTCAATACAGGATGAGTTTAATCGTCAACTCTCTATGCTACCTGAGGATGGTCGGACTTTGGAGGCTAGGAATGCCATTTTCCATGAGTTGATAGGTCATGACGGACATGGATATTGTCGCACATATGGGAGAATTGTGCCTCGGAGAGCGGTGTATAAAGATGGTGCTGGGCCATCACAGTCAACACCCCAGCCATCGACTATTGTTCAGATCACCCACCAGGTTCATGCAGAGCTAAGGGATGAGTTAAGGGAGGAGCTGCGAGCAGAGTTCGCAACACAAAGTGGTGGTGAAGATGTCTCAAAGAGGTTTATTTGATATGAGTTCGACTGATCCACAAATTGAGCCATACATGAGCCAACAATTGGACGAAAATATAATGCTTCGTGATGAAGAAGTTGGTTGGGTGAGGGACGCCGCAGAAGGGGAAACAGTTGATGTTCAAATAGGTTGATATTTAATCAACATTAGTAATTCAATTAAGGCCAAGGTTGTAGTTAATCATCAATTTGTTAATTTACTTTGTCTTTGTAATTGTATTAGTTCAATTAATGTCATATTATAGTTGATGACAAACCATTGCCTATGTTTCTAATGTCAATTAGTGTTATATTGCTTGCAGATTATTATGGGAAGGAAGAGGAAGCCTGATCATCCTCGGCGCATGATATCTGATGTGCTACATAATAGGACATCAGTAGCACCACCATCAGAGGAGGCATCACATCGGCCACCATCGGAGGGGCCATTAGTGCCACCACCATCTGAGGGGCCATTAGTACCACCATATCGACCACCATCAGTGGCACCACAGCAGCTACCATGTACTCAGCCTCCACGCCTACCATCGGTGCGTCCACCATCAGTGGCACCACAGCAGCTATCATCATCAGCTTATGAGCCATCTGCAGGTATATAAATTTGCTTTGATTTGTATGAAAATTATTTACACATACATTTATTTATGCTCATTATATATAACTTGTTTATTGTCATTGTATTTTGCAGACCCTTCGACTTCTTCACAGCCCACCTCAGGTTTATTTGATATGATTTGTATTCACATTATTTAAATTTGCATTTGTTTATTACCATTGCAAATTGTTTATTGTTGTTGTATCTCACAGGTCATGTTAGTTCTTCATCAACCTCGATTAGGCGTGGTAGAGGATGTGCCAAGGGCATTAAAGAGTGGGGTACTGGTAAAAAGCTGGACATACAATTTGATGAAAATTGCTGTCCAGTAGGGGATAACGTGGCTAAGTTAACTACTCAACTTGGCATTATTGTGCGGAATGGTAACATTGTTCCTCTTACTTTTCTTGACTGGAACAATGTGCCTGATGATATTATTGATGCTATTTGGAAGGATGTGAAGGTAAAAGTATATTTTTGTCCACAAATTCGAATTCCAAAATTGTGTTATTATTATTTAAACTTTGAAATTGTGTTTTATAGGACAATTTGAATATATGTCCAGAGGAGTACAAGCCAATCTGCATGAAAAACTGCAACAGCATATGGAAGGATCACAAGAACAAGATTAAGGCGAAGTATTTCAAGCCTAGAAGTTCTGATCCTAATCTGAAGGATGATGTTCCTATGTACATTGTGCCAAGCCAGTGGGAACAACTTGTGGAGTATTGTCGTACTTCCGATGCCGAGGTATACAAATAAGTTATATTTATGATATGTAAACATACAAATCATATTTACATACTTACATTTGTTGAACCTGTTCTAGAAAATTGCAAGTAGGAACGCTAAAAATCGGCGAGTTCACGACATAGCTCATACCACAGGGCGT